ATTTACAAAGTTACAAAGTAATAGAGTAACAGAGTAGGTAGTTACAAATTTACAAAGTTACAAAGTAATAGAGTAACAGAGTAGGTAGTTACAAAGTAACAAAGTTACAAAGTAGGTAGTTACGGTTGGAATGTATAGGAGTTACAATCCTGTCTGTACTGCACATATGGCAGAACTGACAATAGGAAACACAATTACATATAAAAAACACTATGAGGGATTGTGCAATATGTTGTAAGGAGAGAATGTGAACCTGAAGACAAATATGTTTGCACCTTTGAACAGTGTTTGTTTTTATTGTATTCTACTTTTCAAATAGAACTTTCTTCTTGTACATGTAAATATATAAGACAAATAACTCTTGAGACGTGTTTTAAAACCGGTAAGACACATGAGGACAGAGTGTCCTGACCTCTTTATATACAGTCTATGGTCCTGACGCTGACAGAGGGAGTTTATCTTCTGCAGCAGGCTTCAGTTGGGATCTGTTATCAGGTGGGAGGTTTGTTATTCACAGTTCAGGGGTTCGGGGAAGGTCCTGGTCCCACGAGGCATCTCACAAAGTAGGTGAGTCACCTCAGCGGTCAGACCTTTACCCGCTCAAAAATTCATCTCGTAGTTTGAACGAGGACACAGGCGTCACCCCGCGTCGTTATTTTCCTTACTCATCAGTTTAAGGCATGAGGTGCAGAGGGCGCGGGCACGAGCATAGAGCGGGAGCCCCGGTGTTCTGTGTCAGGGTGTCAGTGTCTGCTCGGTGTCAACATGTCCGTCCAGTGTGAGGAGACTCCACCGAGAGAGAGAGGGGATTATTAATAAACCATCAGAGTCACGTTGAGTCCGGTTGATTCCTTAAAACGTTTTAAACACATGGTCCTAATGTTTGTTGTCAAAGAGTGGGCGTGAGGCGCAAGGGTTTGTGGGTAACTAACATCCGGATTCCTCCCATTCTTTACAAAGTCAATAGATTATAAAATATGTGTGAGTGACGGTGCGAGGGTTTCATTCAGTCCGTTTATTCTGTGTTTCAATCAAACTCGTTCTTTTAAAAAAAACAAACAGTTTAAATTCGTTAAATTAAAGAAGGAAGTTAAAACAATCCAGCGAAACACCAACTCCCGTCGGCCGCAGTGCACTGTGGGTGGACTCGGCTTCCGTAGTCGTACATAAAGATTTGTCAAACGCGACGCGGTGAGAGAAAATGGCAGACGTCTCCCTGGATGAGGTGATTCGACGGCGCGGTATTAACACGAAGGCCGCAGCGAAACGGTAGAAAACCTCTAAATGTGCTGGTTTGTAATCGCTCGGCGACGACGCGCCAACTCGTCGTATTCAAACAAAGTGCGTGACGGAGCTTGAGCGCTGCTGCTAGCTAGTCGACCACTGTATGCTAACGTTAGCCGATGCTAGCCAGGTCGTAAAGGCTAAGCTAAGTAGCTGATATTATCTCCAGGCCTCCGAGTTGGGAGCTAATGTAAAATTAAATCTGTGTCCCCCGCTGTTTTGAAATATTGAATTTTCAGTCGGCCGAGTAGCGCAGAGGTGGAGAAGCGGCGACTGCTCTGCTCGTGTTTGTAGCTTTACAGCTTGCTAAACTAGCCAGTGAGCTAATAATGTAAATGTTGCAGCAAAACAAGTTTCACCCTCACGTAGTAAAATAACAAGGTTTTTGAAACGACTGCGTTAAACTATATCGTTGGTTTGTCTCATTACCAAGTTGAAAACATTTTTCTCATCATTAATGTTTCAGGAAATGTAGTTTACATGTGATACATTTATATGTGAGCTATTATTTAGTTGCCTTATTATATTTGTGATTCCTGGTATATAATATATATGTAAGTAACGTTGTATTGTAAAATATTTAGTATTTCTGTGATTTTGTGGTTATTAGAATGTGTTAAGTAGATATGTGTGTGTTATAGTACCAATTGTTTTATTGTTGTTGTTTTTTTTCAGGCCCACGTTCGGATGGGGTGCAGGAGGTGCTGGCAAAAGTTTTGATGCCCGGCAAAAGATTGGAGTTGATGTCAGACAGCGGCTTGGAGGAGGAGCAGCAGCAGGTAAAAGCTACCAATGTTTCATAGACAAATAAAAATGCCTTTATGTTCAACTGATCTTCGAGTGGTATGTTTTAGGTATTAATCCCAAATTTGCTATCAATTCCCTGTCACCCCTCAGGTTTTCAAGTGAAGGATGCCCGAGAAAAGCTGGTACAGAAAGATGCTCGCTTCAAAATCCGTGGCAGGGGAGGAGGAGGAGGAGGAGGAGTAGGAGGAGTGCAGGATGCACGTCAAATGATCAACTCACGCAAACAAGGGCAGTTTACTGTTCCTGCACAGGCCACGCCAAAGACAGCAGTAACACACCAGCTACAGAGCCAGACACTTGTGCAGCAGATACAGATACACACCAACAACAATCCTGGGGGAATGAACACACGGCAGTTTGGTCCAAATGTACATGTACTGAGGGGCAGTGGAACCCCACAGCTGAGCACTAATAAGAGAATGATGGATGCTCGCGATAGGCTGAGCCTCAAGAGGAGTATTGGAGGATCTATGTCAACTGCCACCCCACCCCTAAAAATAACAAAGACCATCCAGGTTGGTTTAAAATAAGCTGCTGTGTTTGTGTAGAATCAGCAGCGTAGCCTTCTTGAAAGTGTGTCTATTGAATTGTTTGAACATTTTGTCGTGCTTACTAATACATGATGCTTCCTTTCACAGCAACGGCCGTTAGGGATGTCAAGTGGCATACGTCCAGGCACTCAGGTAGAGCTGGTTTTCATTTGGTGTTTAAAGATGACATGAGTAACTCTTGTGTTTACATGTCAATCTGAAAGAGATTGGTATTTCTACTTTAATGGCTAACTCTGTAAAACATGGTTCTAATGATGTCCTTTTATATCCTGCAGCCGGTCTCAAATGAGCTGAATGCCACCTCCAGTAAACAAATAAAGATTACTACTGCAAACATGCTACAACCACGGGTAAGGGCGAGGACACAGTACACATTTAGTAGTATTATAAAGTATTTTATTGGTTATTACATCCTGGCATTGAATCAAACTCTTCTTTTCCACTCCTCTATTTCATATAGTCTGGTACAATTGGCTCCGCCTTCTCCATGTCGGCACCAATCACCAAAGTGGTTAAAAATGACGCCTATACAGCCCCACGTCCTCCGGTCCCGGTGACTCCCGCCCGGTCCAACAGCAGCATCGCTCCTCCCCGATCCTCAGCAGCAGCCTTACAGCCAATCTCCAGGAGCCTGCAGCAAGGCACAGCAGTAGCCAGCACACCTGCTCCTGCTCCCCCTCAGGTAAACATCTCTTACTTGGAGCTGTAGGTCAGAAGGTACTCCTTTCTTTTGTAGCACGTAACCATTTTATATTTATTCAGGGTATTTTACATAGGATGCAACACATTCTATAGAAGCCTATTTAGAGGAGCCACCCAAGATGAGCTTGATTGAGATTGTATTGAGCCCATCAGATGTTGCGAAACCCATTTAACAGCTTGTATAATGTATTTAACTGCTGTATGCTAGTACCTCTGTATGCAAATGGTGATTCCTATCATTGCTGTATGGCTTGGATCGGGTTAAATCCTTTACAAAACAAAAGCATACAGAGATTACTCAAATGCTTTATGAGAACATTAGTGCCACCACTCGAACATGAAGTCTTGCATACGATACATGTTTCACTTGTGGGACTTTCCGTTGTGAAACATTGACAAATCGCTGCACTAAAAACAGTACTTACCAAATCAGAGTTCAATTTAACCAAACTAAAAGGTGTTGTTGTGAATACGCTTCATTTTTAAATTAGTACGTTCTGTTCCAGATGCTTTATCATGTGCTGTTATTTCTTTCCAGCCCATCTTCAGTCCTTTGGAGGGGACAAAAATAACAGTGAACAATTTGCATCCCCGGGTCACTGAGGAAGACATAGTTGTGAGTGAATCAAACTCTTTCACTACAAACTTTTATATTCAATATTCAATGGTGTGCTGAGTGCTGTTGTAACACGATGACTCATGCAGTGTGTGCTTGTGCTATTCCTCCACAGGAATTGTTCTGTGTGTGTGGTGCCTTGAAGCGAGCACGCCTGGTGAAGGTTGGTGTGGCTGAAGTGGTGTTTGTCCGCAAAGAGGACGCTGTCAGTGCTTACAGGAAGTACAACAACCGCTGCCTGGACGGTGAGTGCCAGTAGCAAGGACACACGCAATCAGAGGGGTGTCTAGGTTTTGGGGACTGTCTTGTTTTGCATACATGAATAGAGTACAGATGACACGTTTAATGGTTGAGGACAATTTTGTATATAGTTATAAGAGTTTTTGTTGAACTGAAGGACGATAACCTGCTTGGTTATACTTTGCTTTGCAGAGACTACGACTCACCAGAGTGATGAAGTTACGGTGTTTCTGTGTATAATAACTTTGCTCCTTATTCGTCTCCAGGCCAACCCATGAAGTGTAACCTTCACATTCAGGGAAATGTCATCACGTCTGATCAGCCCATTCTATTGTAAGTGAACCTGCAGGGCCTCATTTCTTCATTCCAAATTAATCTGGTGTAACCGTGTCTGCATGCAAAAACTAAATTTAGCATATTTAGCCTTTAAGTATAAACATCCCTCATATGCCTCAAATTAAATATTCATGTTAGCAACTTCATATAATCTAGCAGTGAGTATTAAGGTCATTGTCATTTGAACAGTGACCCAGAAAACACATTTTGGAATTGGGTTATTCTGTGTAACATATAGATAAATGTTTTTTAAAGCTTTCTACCTCCTGATGGAGGAAGTTTCAGGATGGTTTGAGCAGAACATTTATTAAACTTTGGATCAAGGACAATCGAGTTGTGAGGCTTAGCTTCCTAACAGGTTGTATTTAAACCTTTACAGAACCCATACAAAACTTAGTACATGTACAAATAAGGATATTCTTCACGGGATCATACATATGATGATTCTGTTGGCACCAAATCAAAAACATTAAATAACATTCAGCAAATTCAGTATTTCTTGCAAAACCCTATTTCATGTGACACTCTTCTCTCCCGGGCTCCTGCAGGAGGCTCAGTGACACCCCAGGCAGCAGCACAAAGAAAGACGGTCTGCCTCCCTCCTTGTCTCGTCCCGCTGGTCAGCGCTCTTCCTCTCATCCCACTCCAGAGGTCGACCCACAGACCATCCTAAAAGCTCTGTTCAAGTCCACTGCACAGTCCAGCACCACCGCTGAGCCCCCCAACTCACAGGCCACCGCCTTCCGCATCAAGATATAACTCATGTTTAGTGAATATTACTGCATTCTCAGTGTTTAGATATGAACTGTGGTTCATCTTGACAGCGGCCATCATTCTCATAGCAAAGATTTTTACACGTTTGATATACATGGCAACTCCGGAACATGGAATTCATGGATGTCGACGTCCTGTTTTTTTCTTTTGTGGTTTCCAAATTTCACCCGTTTGTTTCTTAGATGGACCAGTGGAAAGAAACGTGAGGTGTCTGTTGTTTTAATCCAATGTGGTGGGGGACGCGAAATTTAACTCTTTAGGGTTGTTGTTTTTTTTTTTACAATTCAATGTCACCTAATCTAAACATGTTGAGTTATTTTTTTTTTTAATACTCCAGTTTAACTCTTAATTAACCCAAACATCTCAATTTAGAAGAAAAAGGGCCTGTGCATCAACAGTTATATTGTCTGCATGTCTTTTCAAAGTGTGTGGGGGGGGGCAGACCTAATTTAAACCACATCCAATGTCTTACCATCCAAATAATCAAGAGTTGCTTGTGGTTGAAAATCATGAAGGACCGGAACTGCGATCATTTCAACGAGCCACTTCTCATTTTTGTGGTATCGAGTTTCTTGTGTGTTCTGTCGATGGCTTTACTCGGCTGTCTCGTGTTCCAGTTGGCATTTGTTTAGTTATTTCTTGTATTCGTTACACTTGATTTATCTTCAAGGACTGTAAATTACTTTCAGACGCTTGTCAGTCAGTCGAGAGGAGCCTAGAGAGTGAAACATGTGAAATGTCACCATTAAATATTTAGCTTTGTAGATGTTGTCTGAGATTTGTTTTTTTTCCTGCGTTCCATATGATGACTATTAAATAAGTGTCACCATGAAAATATAATCAAACAAAGAGTGGATGACCAAGGTAAATCAAATATTCAACATTTTATTTGAATTATTATTTATAAGAGCCAAGTCCAAAAGTCTGACTTTACCCATTTTATATGTATGTATAAATATTTGTGTAGCACTTCTACAAAGTACTTCACAAAGTACACAATTTATATATATTGATAAATATATATGGATAGAATTAGAAAAATAATGATAATAAATAAATGTGTGGATATGATAAAGTAATATAGATAATAGTAAAAAAAAAAGAAATTGTTAAAATAATATAATCGTATTATATTATTTGTATATATGCAAATACACAGGTAGTTTTAATATAATTACAGGAGTAGTTGTCATGATATATAATAATGACAATGATTATAATTATAATAAATAATACAAATGTAAAATAATATAAAACACAGACGGTTAAATTATTTTCTTTACGTTTGGTTTGTACTTCCGGTGTGAAAGGTCACATCAAAATGGCGCCGCCCAAGAAGAAACATGCTAGTGGGCAGCCTTGTATCATTCCTGGAGGATTTGCAGGTATTTTGCGATAAAACGAAGAATATTTCTACAGATATTTACACCAGGACAGAAGTTTATACTCGTGATTTGACCGTGATGGTGGTTATTGATCTGTGGCCTTGTTTATGACGGGGTCCGCCTGATGTTCACAGATGTTCTTTGTTTCCGTCTTCTCTTCTTCACAGTCTTGTCCCTGAAGTTCAGCTCCGACTCTCCTGCTCAACACAAGGTTTATGTGAAAGAACACAGAGTTCGAGCGGAGAAGAATTCACACAGACCTCTGGACCGGACGTTGTTTGTCCTCAACATCCCCCCGTACTGCTCAGAGGTAAATATGTGTACGACTGTCCTCTGAATCAGTGTGACCATCAAATAAAACACATGACAAAATACAGCACAAAAATACAGATCCAGTCAAATATACTTCATTGTCCTCATGGGGAGATTGTTCCAGCTGCGGAACAAAAGAACAGTACACGAAGACATATTGTCCAAGACCTAGAAAAATAACTCAGAATAAAAGTGGGACGATAGTTGCGGACTGTCCTGCTGTTTGTGTTTCAGGCCGTGGTCAGAGAGTTATTCTCACAGTTCGGCTGCGTTCAGTCGGTGGAGCTCAGAGACCATCCAGGCTCCGTCCAGGAGTCCGCACCCAAACTGAGCAAGTTCTTCAGACCAGCTGAGAAAACGGTCGGTGCTGTGTTCCTCCTTTCAAACATTCACACTACGAGTGCATCCTCTGTCAGAGTGTTTGACCTCTCTGTGTGTCTGTCCACCTCCTCCAGGGTTTCAAAGTTGGATATGTTGTGTTCCAAGACTCCTCCAGTGTAAATTCAGCTAAATCACACCCAGATGATTCGCCCCTGGTGGTCTGCACGGAGGAGCGTCCAGTGAAGACAGGCGTACAGAGTGAGTTGTGTGCTTTTTTTCTTCTTCTGATGAGCTTAGTGAGTCAAAACAAATCAGTTTTATGACACACACGTTCTGTGGTGTGTTTTCTCACACCAGAATGGATTCACCAATACTCAGAGACTTTCATTAAGCCGGACAAACTACAGCAAATAGTCGACTCCTTTATGGAGGGCTACGACAAGCGGAAAAAAGAGGTGAGAATCCTGCAGCTCGTCCTCCAGCGTCCCGCCGCCCCACGCCTCCATCGAGAACGTGCGACTCAACCTGGGTTTTCTTTTTGTCACAGGAAGAGCAGCGGCAGAGGAAGGAGGCTGAGCAGGAGCAAGAGGACGAAGAGGGCTGGGTGAAAGTCACGAAAGGGCACAAGGGCGCCAAGGCCCGTCCCCACAGTGAGGCGGCCAACAAGAGGACATTACAGAAAGAGATGAGGAAGAAGAAGAGGAAGGAGCTCATGAACTTCTACACCTGGCAGCAAAGGAACACACAAAAAGAACGTAAGTTGCTTATATTTAAACAGCGCTACTGAGACATCGTAAACCTATTGTCTTTTTAGTTTATTCTTTACTCTGGAGGCTAGAATTTGTCTGAAGGAGAAGTAATAACGGTTTGTAAAAACAGAATGTCTGATACAATCATTTGTTCTGTTTTTTTCCAGATATTGCTGAACTAAGGAAAAAGTTCGAGGAGGATAAGCAGAGAATAGCTCTGCTGAGAGCACAGAGAAAGTTCAGACCTTACTGAGTCAACTACCAAGATTTCCATTTGCTCATTTCACTGCTTCTCTGTTCTCTTCATTGTAAACCTTTGTTATAAAGGAATGTGTTAATAAACTATTATTCTGATAACGTCTTTGCATGATAACTAAGTGATCTGATCAAAACCTGATGCTTTTTACTTTCACACCAGTAAGAATCCAAACCTGAGGTCAAAATAAAATTGAATGCACATTAGAGACGGTCAAATGTTTTACTGGTCACTGTCAACTTGAGCTTGACAAGCTTGCTGCATTTTTGTCTTCTGACACTTCATGATGCTCGACCACACAATGAAGAGCAGGATCAGCAGCAGGGCCGCACCAACACCACAGACGATGTACACCATCACCTGGAACACTGGAAGAGGGAGAAAACATTCATGTTAGGTTTTTATTTATTTTAAACGAAGCTCAGAAAGCTCATTCAAGAATTCATGGATCTTTATGAAAAAGAAAAAAAAAAGGAGCCTGATATTTATGAGTGTGTGCAGATCCAAATAGAAATGTGGATCTATTGAATCTAAGTGAGGCTTCAGAAGTAGACTGTAGACACTCTCCAAGTGAAGTTCTAGTTTTGTGCTGACTTACTTGTGTTCTGTCTCACACACGGAGTGTCTTCCACTGCAGTGTTGTTCTGTCCCAGCATCAGTGGCCCTAAGGACACCAACTGGAGCTGGTCAGACGTGGTCTCTCTTCTCTGTCTCTCACCCTCAGATGCTGCGGGAGGAGAGGGGAAATATAAACAACCACACGGACACAAACATACGACGCACAAGGTCAATGATGAAGTACTCACAAATGATGGCACAACTCTGAGCACAGTCAACATCATCTGTGCAGATCTCCACCCAACAATAGAAGTACATCTACGAGAGAGATTACACAATCAACTAGTTCCCTTAGAAGCTGTTTCACCGGGAACAATGTTTCACTCATGAAACCTTACTTCCTCCACACTTGGATGACCTGTTTGAGGGTCCAAGAAGGCAAACGTCTTGACATCAAACCTCCTCTCTTGGGAGTGGGAGGTCGTCCTCCCCTGCTTGTCCACAGGGACAGAGCTTCTCATGTCATCCAAAGGGTTTGGGCATCTAGGAGATAATTCAATAGTCAGCTGCACAGTAATCCATGCAAATAATGACCTTCCCCGAGGAGGTGATGTTTCCATCTGTGTGTGTTTGTTTGTTTGCAGGATTGTGCAGTTTGGTGCAGAAACAAATAGAAATCGGGATCTAGTGAGTTTTGAATGTGGTTTAATGAGGAGGGCCTGTGGAGCTTTGAGCTTGTTGTGTTACCTCTGTCATTTCCTTCATCTTACCCGTCATACAGGAGCATCCACACAGAGTGTCTGGACACAGGGTGGGCAAAGCAATCCTGCACCCGCAGGGAGAGTGTCGGGTCTGGGGAAGGTTGTGCGATGGAAACTTCCACATAAGCAGCTTTACGCAGGGGCAAACTCAGAGGAAGCTGCTCCTCAGGAAAGAAGGACGTGAAAGATGCATCTAGAACAATAATCCCAAATACAATCATTCAGGTTTGGTTCTAAGGACAAAACAAGCAGCACAACAACTGTTCTTTATTTTATTACCTGTGGCTATTCTCATCTGCACTCTGATGGTTCCCAGTGCAACCACAGACGGTGGGTTCGTCACAGCGTACAAGGACCGCACGTCTGCTGCAGGCTGCAGATCTGATCTTGCATACTCACATCGGACCTGGAGACTAAAACCCCAAACTTATAACTTATAACGTATAACTATAATATAATGTTTTCATAACCGGTAAGTCCTCCCTACAATACTGTGCAGCAGAGGTCAAACCCGACCTGAACGGGGAATGTTTGGATGATCTGTCCGTGTGCAGCTGCTCCACCTCCACATCGTAGATCACAACATCTCCATCCACCTAAAAGCCAGACGGAGAAAGATGAATTCAAATAACTTGTCACTGATGTTCAAGTCATGTGCAAGAAAAATTAAGTCCTTCCTGAGGCGTGAAATGATTGATCCTGCAACAGAGTGAAATCCTCAGCTCCCGTTGTGAGACAGTTTTAACCCTGTGGCTGTTTGAAGTTGACTGTGACCTCTGCTGTGATTTAACTTGATGACATATCATTCTTGATGAGCAGCAGCATCACCTTCTTCTTTGCACCACAGTCTCTGACTCCGATTTTGAAGACGGCCGTGTCTGCGGTGGCGACCACAGGGAAACACTGGGGCTGATCTTTGACTATGAGGCTGCTGGGAGTGATGGGCGGGTCTGCGTCTGTGGCCTTCACCGAGAACACGAAATGTCCGTCCAGAGAGCAGGCTGCAGGGATTGTGAGCAGACAGGAGGAGTTTTGTTAAAGGTTTAAAAAGGAGCAAGTTGTCCAGTATGTTTATATTTGTTGCATGTTGCAAGTAAGGAAAAATCAATCTCACCATTGAGTCTATAGTAGCAGGTGGAATCACTAGCATCATAGCAGCAGCCCAGTTTGTAGCAGGCGTCACTGGAAATGATTTGATGGCCACAGTCCACTCGCAGAGCTCTGTCTGTGCCACACTTTCCAGGCAACACTAGAGAAGAGCAGCGTGTGTTTAAGCTTCTGAACTGGTGCAGTGAAAAGACTGTACTGTACATCACAGATGATGTCATTCTGTAAAGACAGAGAGAAATCCAAACCAGCCTCGAAAGAAAAATGTGCCATTGACTTTTAACTGCTCCTTCAGCCGTCTCCACTCACATGTTGGCTTCAGCGGAGTCCGCTCACCCTGTCTCCTTATCAGAGGACAGCTGATATTCACCCTGAACCACTGATCCTCTCCCTTCAGCTGGACATGCAGAGGTATGACCACTCTGGTGCTCTGAGGGTCGAAGGTCATCACAACATGGACATTAGGAAACTTTTGCTATTATTGGATTTACATGCAAACACAAATGAACATGCACATCTGGATGACTCATTTATATTTACATGTCTGCAACTTTTCCACTATTTCCTACTGAACAAATAGATTCATAATTTTTTACCATTAAAAACATTCTACTGCTTTATTATGAGCCACAATAAGAAATTTAAAATACTCTTCACTTAGGAGGCAAAAGTATTTACCTACTTTCCTCCTATGTGTTATATTTCCTGCCAATCAAATTCTCACGCTGAATGTTCTCGTGTTTTTACCTCAATCTGAACATAGCAGCTGTCATATCTGCTGAGGAAGAAGATGCTCTGGTTTTTCTCTCTGCTCGACATCACTCCACACGAGTCCTCAGACTGAGGCACTGGGACTGTGGCCCCCGACGCGTCTGACAAATTGGAATAAAAAAGTTTGTTTGAGGACAGAGGATCAGGAAGACAGTTAAAAAATAGATAAATGGATTGAATACATACAATATAAATATAATAATAATAAACATGATTCTTTGTCAGCTTTCACAACACAGTTACAAAAATTGAAGGCAAACGATGGGACATTTAAAAGCCAGATACACATATAAATAATGACTGTGAGTATTCACCGTGTATTGAATCACACATACTCAGCGGTCCTACCTCTCACATGTATATTATTTCTGACTGACGGAGCAAACACAGCTTTTATTCTCCGGGCAGAGCAGGTGACTCTGGGCAGGACGAGCAGTTTTCTCTGCTCAGGTGTTTTCTCCACCTGGACGCTGGACAGGCAGCAGCAGTGCTGAGCCACGAGGGCAACACAGAAAGAAATCCAACAAAGTTTAGCACGATCACAAATCATCTTCTCATCGCTGGGATGTTTTCACTCATGGGTTTCCTGGCTCCAGAGACATCAGCTCTTTTCTGTGGGGTCACGTGACACCTGCTAATTAGTGTTGATTGGTTTGAAGCTTGTCGTCCTGCAGAGCATCAGCACAGCTTGGAGGTATGTGTTCACTGGGATGGAAAAAAATAGATTTAACGTTGCACACAAGAGTGAGACAGAAAACAAAGGACATGAATAACGTCACAAAGGTCAAGGTTTAAATCCTGGCTCATATCGTGCTGAGCGCATGTTTGGCCTGATGCCTCCTCAGGGAGCCACTGAATGAAATCATTGCGTAACTCAAAGGCCTGTCCAACCTCAGCCCTCCACCCCATCTCCCTATGGCAACGCTTGTACCCATCCACTTATTATATAAGCACATACTAAACCTTTATTCACTGCTACACCCTGTCAGCATTTACAATCAGCCTCTATTGAGGCTGTTTCAGCTCTGATGGATTCCAAATTATGAAGTGAATCTGGAACTATTGATCTGGACAGGTTGAATTCCATGTGAACAGGCTTTTATCATGTCGTCTGAATTATGGATGAGGTGTTTTCATCACACTAAAATTAGCTTTCCTGTGGGATCTAATGATTTTGATGCCACAGGACACAGAGATCATGGAACTCATGACATAACATGTTATTTGGTTTAATAGACATTCCCACACAGGGGAGGCACCATCACTTCAGTGACTCTCCTCTATCACATATTTAAATGTATTCTTGAGTCCCACTTGAGAAGAATGCAGAAAAGAAGATTCTGGCACTCGAGCACTTGAGTTTGAATTTATTTGTTGTCCACGTTTTAACTGTTGAGGAATTTTCAACCATCCTCACACATTTCTGTATATGCTACTGCATCTCGATATCTGTACAGGAGAAGAGAGCCTAATCTAATTCCACAGATACTCCCTTCTCTTTCTTCACGGTGCCCAAGGTCAGGTTACAGATAAAGGCCCGACCAACACTGCATTGTAGTGTCTACGCTCACAGACTTTCATATCTATCTCAGATGTCGCAGACAGAGAGGCACCAACTTCAACTCTCACTAACTTCCACTCTTTTTGCACATTTAGAAATGGATATTTAGACTTAACTGTCCAGTAGGATGCGAACGCCTACATGTAACAGAGAGAGTGACAGCAATTCTAGCCATTCAGGGATGTGATGGTTCCTAAGGCAGCGGACTTTGTGATTGTGTTGATGTCTGACTACAACAACATGTGCGGCTCAGTTTGTGGTTTAACATTAACTTCACAGACTCTGAATCTTTCTGTCTCCAGAAACAAGATTCTGACTGATTTGTTCAATGCTCTCAGTCAATGGCTGCATGAGATTAGAATCCCCCCGGTGGTTTGGTTACGAAGGTTTGTGTTAATCACATATTTTAATTAATGTTAATTTATAAGTGACAATTTAAATCTCACAGAGGATGAAAACCAAACCTCATCGTAATTATCATAGTTATAATTAATATAACTATTGTTATTGTTGTTGTTGTTGTTGTTGTTGTTGTTGTTGTTGTTGTTGCGACGTCACTGCGCGGTGATGACAGTCACGGGGTGGTCAGGCGGCGTCGTGACGTCGCGCCTGTGACGCAAGAGGGGCATCCCCCCCGAGGGGCGGACTCAGAGACGGAAGCAGCCGGGGAGCAGAGAGCAGGACGCGGATCACCGACACGCAAACATGGCGCTGAACCGCAACCACTCGCAGAACGGAGGCGTGTTGATCAACAACGGAGAAAGGTGCGTGTGTCTGTGTGTGTGTCTGTGTGTGTGTGTGTGTGTGTGTGTGTGTTTTCCACCGAGTCGCGTAGAGAACTGTCGTGTGTCCGTCTGACGTGTTTACTTCTCCGGTGCGTCGTCAACACGGTGCTAGCCTCCTGCTAGCTGGCCTGGTTAGCATTAGCATAGCTAGCCCACTTGTGTGTTCGGAAACTAGAGGCGAAATAAAAAAGAAAGTTTGTGTTTGTGGTTTGTTTTTTTTAACTGTTAGCCGACTTTGGACCTTCTTCACACCCTGACAGCTGTTTAACGCGAGGAGGCTAACGTTAGCACACTTTCAAAACAGGAAGCAGGATGTTGACATCAAGTTAAAAACATTGGTTAATGTGGGAAAACCACAGCTTGTCGAAGTCGGTTGTGTTATTTGAATATACTGCACAGTACTATGATGACACACAGCTCTACTCTGTCATGTGTGTCCTCCGTGTTCAGTGATTTGTTTCCCTTTTTTCTCTCCTCAGTGTTTTGAGGGAATGTAAGAATGTGGAGCTGACGTTCAGCGATGTCACAGGCAAGACAGACCTTATGAAGGGGACCAAGAAGGGCACAGTGTACCTCACACCATACAGGGTACTGCCAGTACAAATACAACTAATACTCCTCCTGGCCTGTTGTTTGGAAAGTGTTCATATTCTCATGTGTCTCTCCCCGCGTGTCTCTTCCCCGCGCCGGTGCAGTTGCTGTTTGTGTCGAGTAACACTAAGGATTGCCTGGGTTCGGCCATGTTCCCGTATTATCTGATGAAGGGCTGCAGCATTGAGCAGCCGGTCTTTGCAGCCAACTACATCAAAGGGACAGTTTCAGCTGAGGCTGGTGGTGAGTGGACTTTTGTTTTTGCTCTCTATCTCTCAGGGTAGTTTCACGTCCAGACATTCTCCTGACTTTCAGCTGGAGATTTTCAGGGCTTGGCGTGTTCGTGACGAGCAGAGGAGCGTGGGCACAGAACGTAGGAGGCCGGGCTTAACACTGGCCCTTCTCACCAAAACCTCTTGAATGCCCTTTCCAATTAGACATCTGTGTCCAGACTTCTAAGTAGGGGGTTGGCAGTAAACGTTTGCAGAATCTGCTGACTTTCACAATAAAACACAAGTAGCTTTCTGTATTTTTAACTGTGGTCGACTCTGTCTTCAGGTGGCTGGGAGGGCCAGGCTCATTTCAAGATGTCATTCAACAGTGGAGGAGCCATCGAACTGGGACAGCATCTGTTCAAACTGGCCACAAATGGTTTGAATGCTAGTTTACTTCATCACTGCATCTAGAATTTTACAATCCTTAATATTCACATTCCTTCAAAAGACAGACACTACATTCATATGTATACAGAAGATATGTAGATGAGAAAACTCAAAAGTGTGAATGAAAACACGAGACACTATCCTCTACTGCAGCTTCTCGTGCCGGTCCTGCCCAGAATGGTGCTGCCTCTTACGGCTATCCGTCACCAGGAATGATGAATGGCTACGGCCCATCTCCACCTGCTCCTCATGGCTATCCGTACCCACCCCCTCCCCAGCAGAATGGATTCTACCAGGGGCCTCCCGCTGCTCCTGGCAACATGGGCTACACTTACCCAACAGCTGCTGCAGGTACAGAATTCAGTAGTTTGTAATATTTGTACACTAGAATCTGCTGCAGGTGCCCAGGACAAATACATTTTCTTTCATTTAGGTTGGCAAATGTAATTTTATGGATTGTTTACACTTTCTCTTGAATGCTCAATAAAAATAAAAAGGTTCAGTCGGAGATGTGTACAGACTTTCATAGGTTATAACTTTTAGGTTATGCTTCCCTGATTTTCCAAATGTTCGTATTCTACACAAGTAAAAATACTCGAGGCACAAATTATGCTGCTGTTTCTTTACCTCCCGTCGATGTTGTGGTTTCTCTCATGCCTGTGTTTTTTTTTGGTCTACGTAACAAGTTGCTGACAGATTGTAACCTCCGCTGACCTTGGAAATCCACCTCACTCGTCTTATCTGCTTGTCATCTGTGTTCCAGGAATGTACCCATCTGGTTTTGACTACATGGCCCCACCTCCCCCTTACCCTGGGCCACCCCAAAATTGGACTGCACCCCCTCAGAATTGGACAACAGCACCACAACAAGCTCCAGGTCTGTTTCTCTCTCTCTCTCTCCCTCCCTCCCTCCATTTTTCCTCCCTGCATGTCTGTGTCACTGCACCCGTCAGATCTGATCTGTCTGCCTCAAAGTGAATCACTTTAAAGCATACCACCAAAAAAGGGGAGCGGATGTCTCATTTGCTCGACATCAAAATTACAAAGAACAAACAATCTACCCTCTTCTCCCTTTTTTTTTTTGCACCTTGTGGATTTCAGTGAAAAGTCAGTTTACTGCTGAAATGTCAGTTTGGCATATATTTACTTTAAAGAAGGAGCTTGAGCTGTCAGTTGTTGTGCTTCACTTGACTAACACTGTGCTCCTCGCATCAGTTGTCCTCACAGTGTTAGGAGCTGTAGCGTCTGTTACTAAATATGTTCAGCAGTCATCGCTGTCTGTCTTTATCAACCCTGTCTTTGTCACGTCTCATTTTACACACAGGTAACTCCAAGGCGGCTGAGGCAGCGGGCAGCGCGTATTACAACCCCAGTAATCCTCACAATGTCTACATGCCCATGGTCAGTTGTCTTCTCTTCAGTTACAGTTGTGTGTTAGTGAGAAGAGAAAACCTTCAACAGTAATTACACAATGTTTTTGTCTTTATTCCCACACAGGAGCGGCCTCCACCATATGCACCTTATCCAGATTCTCCCAAAAAGAAAAACAACTGAGGCTCCATCACTTCGATGACACTCTTCTCTCTTCCTGTATCTTATATATATATATCTATATAGATAGATCTATAAATATATATATACATATATATATACATATATACATATATATATATATATATATCCTTAAGTCAGGAGTGAGGTTGATGGACTGTCACTCGAGTAGAATGCAGAAAATGAGTTGCAAGTAATAGAGTTTAAAAGATGTCAGTGATAACTCCCCAATGAATGAATGATGTTTTGGATACTGGAATAGCTTACTTAACAATCACATCTTATAAATGCTGTTTTTTTCCTTGTTCTTAAGTTCAAGTGATTAGCATAAAATGATTGGCAATTTAAATCTCTGGGTTTGCAGAGCCTCGTTATTATTATTATTTACATTTCCAGTGATGGGATTATTATAATTTTTATTTCTGTCTAAATCACGTGAGTGAGGGCAACAAAACTGTCCTAATTAATAGCCGAGAGCAGGAGGTAGTGTTGGGAATGTATTTTCTAAAGGCAGATTTATTACCAAAACATTTTGTAGCAATTTCTTGATTGCAGAGTCTATAGATATTAAGATTATCAACTTCTACTAGAAGTATTTTTGCAGTATCGTTAAGTATGGTGTGTTCCTATACAGATTTGCATTGAGTATTTGTTATCAATATAAGAAGCAGTAAAAGGGTTGAGTAGTGTTCAGTGATACATTATCTGACTGATTAACATTTCCTTCATATATATATACGAATAATGTGATTGTGTTCAGTCGAAGTGATTCCAGTTATTTTCAGATTCATATCTCAGTTCCCTGCGTAGTCAGTGGTTTTGGTCGTCAGAAGGAAAAGTGTACGGTTTGAAAAAAGGGGATCAGATAGATTTCTTACATAACTACTCTTTGTATGTGCAATATTTTAACCACACATAATAAGTTCAAAGGTGGATAAGCCGGGTTTACCTGCTTGACCCCTTCGTTTTCTGTTGTATTCATGTATGCAAGGATGAAACCAGAACCCTGCTGTTGGGAGTCATTACACGAGTGTGAGGTTACAGGGCCTCCAGGATTATATTAAGGGCCCAGAGTGTTTTGCCTGCTATTGAAACTTGTGAACGCCAGCCATTTATTCCTAATTAAACTGGGGCGAGGCACCAACAAGCTGTGTAATTACATCCCCAGTTAACACCTGTTTGAAGGACTATTTGCACACAGCAGTGGTGGAGAGAAGTTCATATTGCGTTTGAATTTTAGTTTGCTTGAATTTCTGTACATTAATATCTCTTTTCAATTCCTTGTACCTTTTGCTGAATGTTCAGTCTGTCAGTTAAAATCTAATAAATGTGTCATTTATTAAAGTTCACTATTTTTGTTATTTTATTTGTCATTTATCTTCACGGTCACCATGAGTCAGACATTTCTTTATCTTTAGTTTGCAAATAAAAACGTTCTTATGTTTAAACTGTTATTTACTAAAACAGAGAACCCAAATTTACACCCCACTGCTTGCTTCCTTTATTTTTTAGGAATCATTTCCCAAATTAAACGATTCCAGCTTACTTATACCTGACAAAACAAGAAATAAGACATATATCCTCTCTAACTGAATAACATGTTTAATATGTTATGAAACTACCAAACCTGAACATCATATTCACTCTTATCACATTAAAATCACAATGTACACATGTATCACAGAACACAGTCTCAAGAGTCTGAATTCATAAAGATGGCATTGTCATGCACTGAACACAAAATATTCACGACACAAATTCTTTCCAGTCCAACATATAATCACAAAGTTTGTAACTACACTATCGGCTAACTAGTTCGTTTCCACTCACGGCTGTCCACACATCAATTCATAAAGACTAGTTCTACTTAATGGCTCAGTTCCTGTTTCTTCCAGTTCCTCACTCAGGAAAAGGATGTGTGCTTTTTACTACCATGTATCTGATGTTAATTCTCACCGTAAACTACATTACAGATGTGCAAAGCCCGACGATGTTCCGTCACGTGATTTTACCTCCGTGTCTCAAATGAATCGCCTGGTTGAGCAGGTAGACAGTTGTTCGAATTTTCTTTTTTAATGTAAATTGGAAGGAAAGTGCTCTCAGTGAGTGTGTTGACCTTTCCTCGTGCGTTCAGGCACAGTGAGTGGGAGTCTTGGATATTTTTTTTGCATATGATTAAGTCTAGTGAATAAATTGAATTGTAATTAAAGTGTATCTTTACATTTCCCTCAGGGGTGATGTTATTTCTTTTAGATAATTTAGATAATGGAAGGATGAAATAATGGTGGACTTTGGGTCCAAGAGACCAAACAATGTCCCCGTCTCTGAGGTGTTCAGTCAAGAGGAGGAGCCACCTTCTCAGAGATGCTCTTCGGAGGTCGCGCCCCGCCTCCGGAGGTCACACAGATGAGGATGAGTAGAAGGTTTAGCATCACCCATGTTGTTTGGTCTCATGGATCCATAGTTAAAGTATCAGTGAAGTTGTTCGGGGGGGGGGGGGGGGGGCTCTACAGGGACTTTATCTTCTCGTCTGGACGAACGTTTAATTCTCAAATCTGTTCAGTTGAGTTGCTTCCTGATTCACGCCTGTGGCAGCAGCATACCAAGTTAACTAAAGTCTGTAAGATCTATTTTCTCTTGAATTAGAGAAATGAACTCCTGTTTTCTGCATGAAATACATGTGATTCCAAAACGTACCTTCACTTCTCAACACTACGTTTGTCTAGAAGCCTTCAGTCACTGTCATCACCAGGTTTTTTGTTTCCGAGCTGCAAATTGTGAGTTTAAGTTCCAAACTAAAATATAGAAAAAAGTGAAAATGAACTGAGAGGATGCTGCTGCACTGATGTTCTAAATCCTCCCGGTGCTCGAACACTTAACGCCAGCGAGGCAACTATAGAGTAAATGTGATAAACAAGAAGATTGAAACGGGTAAAGGCAACATGGGTAATCTGTGTGTCCGTGTGTGTCCATAGGTCAATAAAGACGCCATATTGCTCTGACCAATCTAACACTGTTAGAGCTACAGGAGTAAAAGGGTGGTTATGGTTGGAGAAAGAATTCAGCAGGAGAATTCGACTGCGATCCGGCGACTCCTACGGCTCCTCCTGTAGGAACCACACCTCATTGCGGCGTCCGTAAGGCTTCAGCGGAGGGTCGAAGCTACAGCAGAAGTACTGCTTGCGCTGGAAGGGGGCGGTCTCCCCCAGGGTGCGCGTCAAACGCAAGGCCTCAGCTCGGTACTCGCTCTCTCCTGCGAAGCCTCCGAACTGACTGCGAGGACGAGAAGGAAAAGAGAGGACGTGAGTTAGGAGGATAATCAGTGTTGTTAATTATGTGGTGCATCTGTGAATCACTGCGGGAATCTGAAAATGAAAGGGCTGCGAGTGCGTTCGGGTCATGTGAGCACACAAAGGTGAAAACTGTTGATCGTCATGTTTGACATACAGAGCATAGACAGTCATGCCGGGCCGCTCCTCAATCCTGACAGCACTGTCGCTGGGAGTCGGGGGGCTTTGCTGGTACGAGGCGGGGACACGGATGCCGACCACCAACCGACGAGACAGAACGCCGTCATTCCGTGGGTACACCGTGATGATGAGGGGGGCGGCTGTACCCATGGCCTCACCTTGGGAGAAGATGTGCGAGATAGAAAGTTGGTATCACTGATACTTGAACTATGGATCTATGAGACCAAACAACATGGATGATGCTAAACCTTCTGATATTTATGAGTGTGTTCGATTAGCTGCAGCTGGATTGAGTTTCAGAGGACTGTTGGAACATTGGTGGAGGTACAGTATTTGTTCTACTGAGGGCCGTCTGATGAGTTCACCTTGTTCGTTGCTCCCGCCGATGTACATGAGCAGCTTCCTCACCAGCTCCCCCGTGGCTTGGTCAAAGCTTCGTCCCTCGGAGGAGACAACGGCGTATTTGCCAGCATCATATCGCCGCACCTCAAAGCTCACTCCATCCTATGTCGGGAAGAAAGCGAAATCAGTGAGTGGCTTTCAGGCGTAGTAGGTCAGCCGCAGCGACACTGGGTGCTTTCATGCACATACACCCACATGCACAAATCACACAGTTGTCCTCTTCCTGGGGACGGAGGCAGGGGAGAGGTTAAGCTCAGATATGATTCACCTCTGACACACTGATGTTGACAATCTGCTCCCGAGGACGAAAGCCCTGAACTAGCGTTGTTTACACTTGGAGGGTTTTGTGTGTGTGTGTGTGTGTGTGTCTGGGGGGGGGCGGGGACTGCACACACATGCGTGTGTTAAACCAACGTGGGCAACCAAATAAAAAGATGCAGATGGAACATATTTACACTGATGTGATTTAATTTCTTCCTCTGCTCTGCAGGGATCAGTGAGCTTACAGAGAATAATAGGCAAGAGATGCATCTTCTTACATAACCGTGCACACACACACACACACACACACACACACACACAC